TCGTTCTGGCCCAGCTGCAGTTTGTTAGGTAATTTTAGATCTCAAAGGGCCAGGTCATTCATATGTAAAAGCCTCTGTGCACAACTTGGGTGGGGCGGGGTCTCAGTGAATCAACAGGGCAGAGCAAGCAGCTATGGCTGCTCCTCAGTCCTACCCGAAGAGGCCCTGTGTCTCAGTGTCCCACGGTAATCACTGCAAGCACCTCTGAGAGAAAGCCGCCCTCAAGTTCCGCCTGCTGCCACAGTCCAGTTTCTCCCGGTATGATTCTGGGTCCCTAGAGACTCGCCTAGAACTGGAGTTCAGAGCAGTCAGGAGCTTGTGCCTCCCTCCTGATTGAAAAAGACAACCGTGTCCTCAGTTGCCAGCCCTTTCCACGTGCGCCTCCATATTGCTGCACTTTACTTTCGCACGTCCTCTGAGTATCAGTGTGCTTTTCTCTTCCTTCTAGTTGTAGAATTTCCACTCAGCCAGCCTTCCTGTGGTTCTGGATGATGTCTGTTTTGTCTTTTAGTTGTATTTTTGAAGTGGTTGTGCGAGGCAGCAATTTCAGGTGTTTACCTATGCTGCCATCTTGGTTTCCCTCATTGTCTTTTAAATATAATCCTCTAATGCTGAAAATGTATTAAAATTTAAAATACTTGATGTTCATATGATTTTTTCTAAGAACTTATATATTATTTAGAATGAATAACACATTTACTCCAAAAAATTCTATTTAAGTTTAATAAATTCTATTTAGGTTTAATATTTATAAATCACCGTGTAATCTAAAATCCAAAATACAAACCCCTAAACCAAATTACCATAGGCGAGGAAGATAACAGACAAGAATTTAAATAGAAATTTAAACTCAAAGCAAGTCATTTCACCCAGATTCTAACAATTAAATAGAAATAGATATTTTGTGTTTTCTTCGCATTTTGTACAACTCTCATTCTACTACTATATTGTATATATTTGCCTTCTTTATATGACTGTTTCCTGAACCTAGAAGACAGACTATATTTGTTTATAGTTGTATCTCTAGTACCTAAAATTGTACCTGGAACATAGCAGGTACTTCTAAATGATAAATGAGTGGCTGGTAGGAAGGACATAGAATGGAACAAACTAAGGGATGTTTCGAATCCTGTAAGCCCGTATTAATGTCCCACAACAACTTCATAAAAAAAGAATACAGGTAGAATATATACAACTTTAAAATTTGTATTATTTAAGAATGATTTATTGTGGACAATAAATATTCCATTTCTACCTACATTGTTGATCTCAGAAAACATGAACATAGCAAGTTTTTCCTGAGCTGTTACCATCTATGAAACAAAATTATTCTTTCTAGTCATTATTTAGGGTTAGTATGAAGATGAATCAATTCTTAAAATTGCTCAATTGATCTGCTCAATGAATTATAGAATTCAAGTAAAAGTTGAAAGCAAAGTAAAAGTTAATGCAAAGTTAGTAAGATATGACTGTGCTCTATATACAGTCTCAACCCACAACAAGCTCATGGTAGTACAGAAGAGATGTATATACACAATAAATGACAATTCAAAAGAAAAATGTCAAAGAGGAATCGAAACAGTTTAATCCTGGTATTGTGAATGTATACACAAGGGAGATTTTAAGTCCAACGGGAGGAATTAAAGAGATTCATGAAGGAAATGGTATCTGTTCAAGAATTTTTACAGGAAGAAATAGAGGAAGGGATATTTCAGAGTAGAGAGAATAGCAAAAGTACAAAAGTAGTACAGAGATTGTATAACAATCTAGTCTAGTCTAATGGAAGGAGAGTTAGGATGAAATACAGTCAAGGTGATATTTTATAATAAGGCATTAGGACTTTCTGTAATGGAAGTCATTTGAGAGGAGATCAATGGTCAAGTGTGTATTTCAGGAAGCAGTATGAAAAACTAGAAAGGCAAAGTTTAGAGCCCAGTAGAAGAAACCTGATTTAGGGCAATGGCCATGGAAATGAATTAATTAATGAATGAATGGGCACATAAAATACTGCAGACATACAGGCATAGGCAACCAAATGGATTAGAGGTAAGGGAGAGAAAAATAATGACAATTACTGATATTTCCAGTCTGGGTTATAAGATGCCATTAACTGAAACAGGAAATGAGAAGAAATATGATTGAAGTAAGAATAACACATTCATGTATAGTTATGTCTCTATTCAAAAGTTAACAAAATTAATATGAACCTAAATTATCTTTGAATGCTAGCTATACTGTGTAGTCCTGATGAACCTTTTTTTGTTGTTGTTGTTAATCATCATCCGAGGATATTTTTCCATTAATTTTTAGAAAGAGTGGTAGGGAGGGGAAGGGGGAGGGAGAGAGAGAGAGAGAGAGAGAGAGAGAGGCATTGATGTGAGAGAGACACCTCGATTGTTTGCCTCCCACATGGCCTGA